GGAGGCTGAGGCAGGAGAATTGCTTGAATCCGGGAGGCGGAGGCTGCAGGAAGCCAAGATATGCCATTGCACTCCAGCCTGGGCAACAAGAGCAAAACTCTGTCAAAAAAAAAAAAAACAAAACAGAAGACAGGGCCAGGCGCCGCGGCTCACACTTATAATCCCAGCACTTTGAGAGGCCGAGGCGGGCAGATCACTAGGTCAGGATTTCAAGACCAGCCTGACCAACATGGTGAAACCCCGTCTCTACTAAAAATACAAAAAATTAGCCAGGCATGGTGGTGCGCACCTGTAGTCGCAGCTACTCGGGAGGCTGAGACAGGAGCATCGCTTGAACCTGGGAGGCAGAGATTACAGTGAGCCGAGATCGCGCCACTGCACTCCAGCCTGGGTGACGGAGCGAGACTCTATCTCAAAAAAAAAAAAGACAGAAAATAGGCCTACTAGCCCCTGGTCCAGACAGATTAGCAGCTGATCAGAGTGCACTGTTGGAAGTTGCTGAGAAGTACGCATGCGGTGTAAGGGGTGGGAGGTGGCAGGGCACCCAGCCAGCTGGGGGGAAACAGGGGGAAGACTGTGGAGCAGAGGCAGACCTGAGACATGGCCCCAAAGCATCCTATGTTGTCATTTACAGCAAGTTAATAGACTGTGAGTTCTGAAAAAAAGAGTTCTAAATTATATATATATATATGTAGTACAGCAAGTGAAAGGCACTGCAGAACCTTAGGGTGGAGGCCAGTGTCTGAACCAAGTGTGTGCCGGCACCCAGGAGTATGGGGTTCTCTGTGGAGATTCTGGTGCTCCAACAGGTTTTTGGGTTTAAAAAAGTTTTTTTTTAGAGATGGAGTCTTGCTCTGTCACCCAGGCTGGAGCACAGTCGTGTGTTCACAGCTCACCGCAGCCTCCAATTCCCAGGCAGGCTCCAATTCTCAGGCTCAAACGATCCTCCTGCCTCAGCCTCCCACATAGCTGGGACTACAGGTGTGCACAACCACACCCAGTTAATTTTTGTATTTTTTGTAAAGATAGGGTTTCACCATATTGCCCAGGCTGGTCTCAAACTCCTCCTGCCTAAGCTTTCCAAAGCACTGGGATTGCAGGCATGAGCCACCAGGCCTAGCCTCCAACAGCTTCCAACAGGTTTAAATTGACTCCAGAGATGAGCTGGTAAGCCAGGTGTGGTGGTTCACACTTGTCATCCCAGCACTTTGGGAGGCCAAGGCAGGCAGATCACCTGAGGCCAGGAGTTCAAGATCAGCCTGGACAACACGGCGAAACCTGGTCTCCACAGAATACAAAAAGTAGCCCAGTGTGGTGGCACACGCCTGTGGTCCCAGCTGGTCAGGAGGCTGAGGCAGACGGATTGCTTGAGCCTGGGAGGTAGAGGCTGTAGTGACCCATGATCATGCCCACTGCATTCCAGCCTGAGCGACAGAGCAAGACCCTGTCTGAGAATTAAATAAATAAATAAATAAATAAATAAATAAAGATAGCACAAAAATCTGACTTGGCCCCTCAACCAGACAAGAAAGTTAGAAAGCTGAGTGTGTGATGTGACTCAAAATACCCTGCCTGTGGCAATGCCCCGTGACCACTGCATCGGGGACTCTAAAGGTGGCCCCACCCTTCCTGCCCAAGGTACTGGCTTTGCACGGGGACCGGGATTACCGTCGAGGCTGTTATCAGCATCTTCTGAGACCGGCTCATCCACAGGCTCAGCCTCACTCCTTCCAGGGGAGGACGCAAGCTTGACGTGCCCCATTCTTAAAGACGCTGATTTTGAAAAGGCGCCTGTGATGGAAACTGACGGCATGTGGGAGGTGGTGTCACCGGACACGTAACTCTGTGGGGAGTCTGCTCTTGAGTGAGCGCTGTGAACGGTTCTCTCTACTGCCAGGGAGGTTGGCAGGTGTGATGTCTGAGACGGCTTTGTGCTGGAGAGTTCCACACTGGGCACAGTAAATGCTCTCGGCTGAGATGGGACCTGATATAAAACACTTGAAATTAACAAACTTATGACAACTAAGGTTTTTGTGGGGTTTGTTTGTTTGTTTGTTTGTTTGTTTTTTCAGACAGGGTCTCACTCTGTTGCCCAGGCTGGAGGGCAGTGGCTCAATCATAGCTCACTGCAGCCTCGACGAAAAACAAGAACGAGTCAAGGCTTCAGCAGTGTTAATGTCAGTGAGGAAGAAGAAAGGAAACTATTTCGGTAGAT